GCTGAGCTAGTAGGACAACAGGGAGTCCTACACTTCCCCCAAACCTCAGAAAATTCTACAGAATTCACAATTGGTGTAAATGGGCTTTTTGTAGAACTTAGTGAAGGGAGAAAGACAAAGAGATCCCAGCTAATACCTGAGTGTCTGCTGAAAGCTTTATCTCCCCAGCTGACCCTCTCTTCCTTTGGAGGGGTGGGTAACAGCAACAAGTGACAAATCACTTCATCAGTCTCTCTGACTAGCCCCTAGCTTCTCAATCTCTTTGCCTCTCTGTTAGAGAACTATGTTACTGACTAAAAAGCAGGCCCTCTCAAATTCTAGACATCTGACTGTCCAAGGGCATAGAAGCAAAGTTGTGGGAGTTATCAGTCTGTCCTCAGGAGAAATGAATTGGAGTATCATTATGTGATTTTCCAAAACAACACTCTAAATTTAGCATCGGTGCCATCTGAATTTCTGCCAAGGAAAAACATCTAATCAGGGTGATTGAGCAAAGTGCTTTTCGCCTGCTATGATGCTCCTGAACTTAATCAAAAAGCATTTATTAAGTACTTAATTACATGCAGTGCTGTGCTGGATGCTCGAGGAGAGAACCCTGTGTACCTTGCCCCTCCTCTCCAGCCCTTTAGTCTAGAGAAGTGGAGGGTGGGGCAGGAAGGAAGCTAAAATTTCACTATTTCACGAGTTCCTCATTTGTGATTTAATACTGACAGTCAGCTTAGGAGGTAAGTATCATTTTATAGACAAGAATAGTGAGACTCAGCCCAGAGGGCATGGCTCAGTGGTTGAGCATTGACCTAGGATCTAGGAGATCTCGGTGCAATTCCAGGTCAGGGCACGTGTCCAGGTTTTGGGCTCGATCCCCAGCAGGGGGCATGCAGGAGGCAGCCGATCAGTGACTCTCTCTCATCATTGATGTTTCTGTCTCTCTCTCCCTCTTCCTTCCTCTCTCTGAAATCAATAAAGACATTTAAAAAAAAAAAAGACTAGTGAGGCTCAGGAGGTAAGTTGTAGAACTGGAATATTCAAGCTGAGTTTTCTGACTCCAAGGCTCTTTCCCTTACATGACATAGCCTCTGGGAGGGCAAGGAATATGTGCTCAGAATAAAAGTACTCCTTAAAACAATAAGATGGCTTCCAAGCATTTGGGGACAGAAGGCAGAAATAAAGGAAGTCATATAACTTGAGATCAAAGGAATTATGTTTTGTAGACATTCTGAAAAAGACTTTTTAATTCAGACCCCCAAAACTGATGCAAAACACTGCTATTGTCTCAGGCTCGAGGTGGACCATAAAGCAGGGGCCTGAGGAGTACTTGCCTTTCTCCCCACCCCCATTTAGAGATTCTGAGACTGCCCTTGGGATTTAAAGCTTATACTTCAGACAATCTGCCGCAGATCCAGGGGCATTCTGGGAGTAAAGCTGCAAGTTTTTGGCAAAATCCACAGCAAACCTACCCTAATGAGAGATCTGCTCAATGAGATAGCTGACAATGTGCTGAAGGCCCCGCTGAGGATCCTGCCACCCTTGGAGCCATTTGCTCAGTGTTTGGCACAGGTCTGCCACTCGCTGCCAGCATTTGTTTGCGTGTTTGGTACCTCCACCGCCCTGCCTCAGCCACCTTACACTTTTGTTGTTGTTGTTGTTGTCACCTGAGGATATTTTTTTTTTCCATTGCTTTCCAGAAAGAGTGGAAGGGAGGGATGGGGGTGGGGGAACATTGATGTGAGAGAGACACATGGACTGGTTGCCTCCCACAGGGGCCCTGACCTGGGTGTGGAGCAAACCCACGGCCCAGTAACGTGCCTTTGACTGGGAATCAAACCCAGGACCCTTTGGTGCTCTGTCGGTCGCTCTAGCCACTGAGCTACACCAGCCAGGGCAACTATTTATCTCCCTGTGCCCCCTACCAGCCCTGTCGGTGTTTCACATACATCTTGATCTAATTAATACAAAACATGTGACTGCCCTGCCAATGTCCCTCGGGCCTCATACCTCTCAGGTTTTACAAGTGCTCTCTCCTGTTCTCCCTACATTTCTCTCATCTCTCTTCCTCCTTCCCACATGTCTCTTTCTACCATATTTTTGCTCTATTTATCTCACCTCCGACCTTCCATTAGTATCTTGATTTTTATACCTTTCCCCTCATTTCTCTTTGGTTCAAGTCAATGACCAGTTGTTGAGCATGCACTTCTGGGCTGTGTGTGATGGATTACACCTTAAAGTGTGAAGTTTAGCTGGGGGAATGCGGAATAACCATGAAACTCTTAGTGATGACAGGAAATAATTATTACTGGGAGTCATTTAGAAAAATGGAGGGAACTAGAATGTAAATAGATGAGAAAGGCTTGTCTTCCTATAACCTTCTAAACTCTGAATACCTGGCTTAACCTTTGCTCACTTCTTACTAAAGGATAAAGGTCAATTAAAAATATGAATAGTATGAGAAAAATAAATCTTTTCTAAAAATTGAGGGTTGTTACAGCCCTGGTCGGGTAGTTTGGTTGGTTAGAATGTCACCCGGATATGCTAAAGTAGTGGGTTTGATCCACAGGCAGGTCACATACAGGAACCAACCAAAGAATGCACAAGTGGAACAACAAATCGATATTTTTCTCTTTCTCTCCCTTCCTCTCCCTCTCCCTTCCCTCTCTTTAAAAATCAATCAATCAATAAAAATTTTAAATTATCTTTAAAAAGTAAAACATAGTAAAAATTTCAGAGTGTGGAAAAATTTAAACCAGAAAGAAAACATTCTTCTACATCCTCAGTCCTACTCAGTAGGTAACTATGAATGATTCTGGTATATTCTTACAGAAAATTTTCATAATTGTACAAAAACAAATATATAACAGGTATTTTCCCACAAATGGAAAAATTTATATATATTTGCAAATTGAATTGTTCTTACCTGGCTATCATTTTATAGTACATATAGATCCATGCATATGGATCTACCCCTAAGCTTTTTAATAGCAACTTCCATTGGTACAATATTTTATTTAACTAGTCCCCTATTGATAGATATTTAGATTGTTACTGTTTTTACTAAAGAGGAAGTTTTAGAAATGATGTTGCAACAGATATGCATAAACAAATATCTCACTTTTTGCAGTATAACCGCAGGAAGAAAATCCTACAAAGGATAAGTATTTAAAAATTGGGTAAACATTGATTTGGTAGGTTTGACAGATTTGGCCAATTGTCCCCAGAATGTTGTATGGATATATCACATTTTGTTTATCCATTTGTTTATCCATTTGTCTACTGATGGACCTGAGTTGTTTCCACCTTTTGGTTATTGTGAACAATTCTATAATGGACATTGGCAATACAAGTGCCTGTTTTCAATTCCTTTGGCTATATACCTAGGATTGGAATTGCTGAATCTTATGGTAATTCTATGTTTAGCTTTTTGAAGAACTGGCAAACTCTTTATTAGCTGTTAATTTGCTTATCTCTTTTTCTTGACTAATTCCTTTAGCTCTATATACTTTCATAGCATATATTAGCATATCAAAATATCAAAATACTTTTTGTATTGTGTTATAAAGTTATAACATGACAATTATTTTGCAACCTGCTTTTATAACACACTATATTAGAGCCTCCCCCCAACATATATAGATCTACTTCATTTTTTAAAAACTACTGGATAATGTTCGAAGTATGGATACCATAGCTTATTTAACTATTCTACAAGTAATGGATAGCAACATTGCTTCCAGTTATTTGGTATTTTGATTTTAACTTTACGTTGTCTTTCCCATGCAGAAATTTCAAACATTTTTATTGTGGTAAAGTTGGTATACAAGAAAAAATTTCAAATTTTTTATGTAGTCAAATTTATTACACTTTTTTCTTTAGTGCTTCTGGGTTTGGGGTCATACATGAACAATCTTTACTGTAAGAGTATGCTAATTTTTTTCTAGAACTTCCGTTGATTTATATTTATGTTTACATCTCTGAACTATTACAAATTTATTTTGCCTTAAGGAATGTGGGAGTGATCCAGCTTTATATTCTTCCAAATGGCTAGCTGGTTTTCCCAACATCATTCACTAAATAATATGTTAACTGGGGAGTACTTATAAAAGAAATGTAGCCCTAGCCAGTTTGGCTCAGTGTTGACCCGTGGACTGAAGGGTCCAGGGTTCGATTCCAGCCAAGGGCACATACCTAGGTTGCAGGCTCCATCCTGGCACTGGTCAGGGCTTGTGCAGGAGTCAATCAATGAATGTGTCTCTCTCACATTGATGTTTCTCTCTCTCCCTCTCCCACTCTCTCTGAAAAGCAATGAAAAAATATTCTCAAGTGAGGATTAAAAAAAGAAAGTAATATAAAGTTCAAGTTGAAAAGGGGTATAAAACCTTCTTACGCCTAGAAGTGTTATACAAGCAAAGACTCAGATTCAGGTAGAGTGAGTCTCCTGAAAGAAGGTGACGCCTACTTATTCAGAACTGAATCAGAGCCAGATGAGGGAGCTACCAATGCGCTGTCTGAGGCTGGCTTCTGATTTGGTTTATTTACTCTTGCCCACTGGTGAAATCTGTAAATATGTCATGGGGTATAGAATCTTTATTTTGTTTCTGTCCCTCTACTGGTGCTTTGAGCTAAAAATGGGAACCCCTAAAATGCTACCGCTGGTCCCACTTATGCATGGAGCTATGCCTGCAAACAAAAACTAAGGAAGACTGAACAAAGTTAAAGTTTTAAAAAGAAAAAAGTGGCAGCCGAAAATAATTAAATTCTTGGACTTGGAATCTATCCTTTGATGCCCAAGTCTCTGCCTAACAGCTGACCTGAACAGGAACGGAGGGAACCCCTAGGAACCAGGGTCCAGGGGCTGCTGCCCGCGACAGATCAGGCCCTCAGGGAGGGGCACGCCCCTCCCTCTGCCTCGGCCAATCGGAAGCAAGAAGGCGTGGCCCCGGGACGGCGGAGGCGGGGCTGGCGCAGGATCCCCGAAGGTGGCAATTTTCCTGGGCCCTCGGCGCCCGGGAACAGGTGGAGGCCGGGCTGGCCCGGGCTTCAGCCTCCAGCGTCGGGAAATGGCGGCGGGGGGCAGGCTGGAAGATGTGAGTGCACGAAAGCGGCGGGCGAATCCGGATCCCCCGGATCCCCCGAATCCCCTCCTTCCGGTATTGGGCAGGCTGGGCGGAGACTGCGCGGGGAAGCCACCCGCACTCGGAGCGGCCGCGGCGGGAGGCGGC